AAATGTGCCTTAGGCGCCTCAGGGTGTGGCATGGATGCTACCTGGGAAGACGCCGCAGGCGGGTCCAGCCAGCAAGCGCTTCAAACGGGGGGGGGGGGGGGGGGGGGGGCGCTCTCCTCACTCCTCAGCTGCTGCTCGCGCCAGCAAGCGCTTCAGGTGTGGGGGAGGCGCTCTTGCGCTCTCCTCCTCAGCTGCTCGCGCCAGCAAGAGCTTCAAACAGAAGGAGAGGGGGCGCTCTCCTCACTCCTCAGAGGCTGCTCGCGCTCACACTCCGCTTCGTGCTCCCCGCAGCCACCAGCCAGCGTGCACCTCGTGTAAGCAAAAGCAGTTCAAAGACAGGACTGAGTGTTTGTTTGTTTGTTTGTTTGTTTGTTTGTTTGTTTTGAGACAGGGCTTCTCTGTGTAGCCTTGGCTGACCTGAAACTAACTCACTCTATAGACCAGGCGGGCCTCAGACTTGGAGACGGGTCTGCCTCTGCCTCCTGAGGGAATTAAAGGTGTACACCGCTAATGTTTCCGAGTTGAGCCTCCAGCCCTTAAATTAAGGATAGATCAACTACTGCCACCTTCGTCATCACCCCTTTTTCTCTAACTGACACTCAGGGCACCCTCATTCTTTCCCGTGGTTAAAGCTCGTAAGAATTTTTTTTTCTTTTTTTAATTTTTTCAAGACAGGGTTTCTCTGGACTCAATCTGTAGACCAGGCTGGCCTCGAAATCATGGAGATCCGCTTGCCTCTACCTCCCTGACTGCTGGGATTACAGGCATATGCTACCGAGCCTGACTCCAGATATAACTTTTTAATTTAGTCTTTCCCATTTCCTTTACATTGGTAGTAAGCCTGATTTACAGAAATTGCACAGATTAAAACAAAACATTGCTTTTTCTTTAATTATGGTAGACATAAAAATTGATCATTAATGGTCATAACACTTGTAGAGCGTGTAATATTAAGTTTGGAGGTTTCAGCCTTAAGACGGTGAAGGTCATGCCTCTTGGTATACAAATGGGACTCTGCTGTACCCACACTGATAATCACTGCTGTATTATGTCTATGAACAGGTTCCTGGTATAAATTTACCTGTCAATCAACTGACTTACTTCTTCGCTGCAGTCCTCATTAGTGGTGTCGTACATGAGATTGGACACGGTATAGCAGCTATTAGGTAACTAGACTTAACTTTTTCTTTTGTACCACATGCAAAGAAGCTTTTCAGTGAAGAGGATTTCTTCCTAAAATCTTGTATATTTGATGATTTTTTTTTTCTTCTGTAGAGATTACTCTATAGCCACCATTTATCACTTTGGGGTAGCTTTTTTTTAAAAAAAAATGATATATGTATATATTGCTGATATGCCATTCTAATCATGTGATCCCCAGTATTCTAAGTTTTTCTATTCTTTGATTTCTGCCAGAATGATTATAACCTCAGTGCTTCAAGATTTTTCTTCTAGTCATTTTTTAAGTTATATTTATTTATTTATTATGTGTGTGTGCATGAAACATATACTGTGACATGCTTGTGGGAGTCAGAGAACAACTTGTGGGAGTCACTGATCTCCTTCTACCATGTGGGTCCCAGAGATCAAACTCAGATAATAGGACTGACAGAAAGTGTCTTTACCCATAGAACCATCTCATTGACCTGTCCTCTGGAATTCACTTGAGTTCACTTCTTTGCCACTGCCTCGGAGAGTTGTTTTGGGAGAAAGTAGGAAGGAAAGCTTTCTCTAACTCAGGCTAACCTCAGACTCAGAGTCTTCCTGCCTCAGTCTACATGAGCTAAACAGTTTCCTGCTTCTGCCATGTCCCATATTATGTAGAACAACAACAATAACAACAAAAACCTGGAAGTACTGGGTTCAGTGATATCTAAGTCTACCTAGAAACCCAGGTGGAAGATAAGAGGATGAGACCTAGGACTTCCTTTGGGATGCATGCTGTATTGGTGAATTTGACTATACAAATGTATCTTTCTAATTATACCATAACAACTAAGATGGGAAGAAAGCAGGAGTGGTCACTACTTCCTTATACCCCCAAACAATTTCTGCCAAAATCAGAAACATGCACACAGAAATGTTTTTATCTTTTGTGTATATGTACCAGGAAAAAGGCAAATGACTGTTCTGGAGGAAAAGATTAATCATTCTTATTTCCCAGTTGCTTATGAATAGACATTGATCTTAGCACAGCATGTTTGAACAGGTGTGTACGCTACAGGTTTAAAGAGGCAGTTACCTTAGAAAAATATTGGCATCTGTATGTGCCTGTAGGGTTTTGTGTACATGTGCCACATGTATGGAGGTTAGAGAACAATTTTCAGGAATCATTTCTCTCCTACCAAGTGGGTTCCTAGAATCAAACTCAGGATGTCAGATTTAATACAAGCAACTTTACTAATTGAGCAATCTACTAACCCCAGTTACCACTTATAAATCCCTTTTTTGTTTCTACGTGTTTAGCCATATAACCTTAGGCTTTTATATCTAGAGGCATTATTATTAATAGTTTCATATTTTACATTATGTTTGTGAAAGAAATTAAATGACTTTTTAACATAATACTTTCTGTTTATTTTTTGAGAATTTCACATATGTATGTGATGTATTTTGTTTATATCCCTACCCTACTTCTTGCCTCCAACTCCCCTTAGAATCCCACATCTCCATCCCAAGTTCTCTCCCCATCACTTATTAACCCCCTAAGTCCAGTTAGTGTTACCTGTTATGCGCATGGTTGTAGTGCCATCCACTGGAGCATTGGCAATCTCTCAGACACCATCAACTGCCAGTAAGTCCTCAGCTAGAGTAATGCCTCATGAACTTCTCCCCCATCCATGACATACTGTTGACTGGTTTGATCCTATGGTCTTTTGCAGGCAGCCAGAGACGTTATGTTGTGAGTTCAGGAGTGTACTGACCAAGTTACATCTGGAAGACAGTGTTTGGCAGTAGTCCTTCCTAAACTCTGGCCCTTAAAATATTTCTCCTTTCTCTTCCACAATGTTTCTCTGAGCCTCAAGCAAATGGGTGTGTGACATCAATGTCCCATTTACAGCTGAGCACTTCATAGTTACTTATTCTCTGTACCTTGACCAGTTGTGAGTCTGTATTAGCTGCCATTCATTGCAAGAATCAAATATATAGCAAGCTTTTCTGATAAATGGTTGAGAACAGCACTAATCTGTGGATATGAAGATAATTATTTAGAAGACAGGTTAATGCTATGTCTATTTAGCAAAACAATAATAGTAGGTTTACCCCTAGGGCTTATGAACTCCTGCCAGTCACTGTTCTATTGCTTTGAAGAGACCATGACCAAGGCAACACTTATAAAGGAAAATATTTAATTGGGGGCTGTCTTACAGATTCAGGGGTTAGTTTATTATCATCATGGCAGAAAGCATGGCAACACACATGACACTGGAGCAATAGCTAAGTGCTGTATATCCTAATTGTCAGGTAGGCAAGCAGAGAGAAAGAGACTGAGCCTGGCTTGAGCTTTGAAAACCTCTAAGCCTGCCCCCAGTGACATTTCCTCCAGCAAGGCAACACCTACTCCAACATGCACTATTCCTTGCAATCTTTTCAAACAGTTCCACTCACTGGTGATGAGGCAGTCAAATATATGAGCTTATGGTGGCCATTCTTGTGTGGCCACCATACCTCCCCAACTACAGGATTTTAGCCAGGGTTAGTAAGCATGAGTTCCCTCCTATAGAGGGAACCAACTAAAAAGTGCTTGGTTATCCACATAACAATCTTGGCAGACTGGTTGTTTGCTATAGCCACAAGGTTTACAGCTGGTTAAGACCATTGATGTCTTCTTTTTTTTTTTTTTTTTTTTTTTTTTTTTTTTTTTTTTTTTTTTTTTTGCCTTAGCAGATCTGCCACTAGAAACTATGATATTTAAAAAAAAAAATCTCATTACCAACAAAGCATGAATTAAATAGTTGTCTAAGGTAATGCTTTCCTCATAGTACCTTTTGGTCCTATGAGACTATTAAATATATAACATGTATTTGTAGTAATGAAATAGTGGAAAAACTATTCCTTTTAAGTACTGTCTTCCCATTAACTATTTTAAATGTACTTTATTTTGGGGAGGAGGTGGTAGGAAGGTGGTAGGAAAGGTTTCTCTCACCCAGGAGATCCTAAGACGCAGAGGTCTTCCTTCCTCAGTCTCTCCAGCTATTAGAATAACAAGCATGTGCCTTAGGATAATGCATTAAGATTAGGATAATAAACATTAGCTCAACAGAAATATACTTACATAAATCTTGAGTCGTATTTATAATAACTAAGGCAAATAAATGTGTTTGAATCATATATTTGAGTTATACATTCCCTTTTGTCCTTCTCTGAAAATAGTTTATAGTACACTATAAATTTCTTTTTTCTTCTTGTCCTTCTCCTCCTCTTCCTCCTTCTTCTTTTCAAGATAGGGTTTCTCTCTGTAGCCTTGGCTATCCTGGACTTACTTTGTAGACCAAGCTGGCCTCCAACTTATAAAGTTCTACCTGCCTTTGCCTTCCTGAGTGCTGGGACTATAGGTGTGAGTTACTGTGCCTGTTTCTACTGTGCCTGTTTCTGCTGTGTAAATTTCTATCACTGATTTCATATATATATATAAAATTATGTATATAATATAAATATTATATATATATCAGATTTCAGTTATATATTCAACAATAGCAAAATCCTAAAATTTTGGCATTTTTAAGTGTATTTCTAAGTTCTCTAGAGCCTAGGCCAAATAAGTATACAATTTTAAAGTTATGATTTTAGTGTAGATATGTTTTCTCTCCAGGAAGTTTGTTTTTAAAGATTTGAATTACAGTGGATTTTAAGATAACATCATTATTAACTTAATAATTATGATAATATTAGTAAATTTCTTTTTTTTTAATGTGATTTTTTTTTAATGCTTTTATAGGGAACAAGTTCGATTTAACGGCTTTGGAATTTTTCTCTTCATTATTTATCCTGGAGCATTTGTTGATCTCTTCACCACCCATTTGCAACTTATATCACCAGTCCAGCAGCTAAGGATATTTTGTGCAGGTAATAAACAGACTTCATTTTTTTTTAATTTTGTGTGTTGTTTGGGTTTTGATTTTCTTTGATTAGTGATTTTATTGAAAGTACTTTCATGAAAAATAACATTTGGTTAATAAAGTCAGCTATTAGATTACTTCAAAAGCAATTTTTAAAAACCAACAAATTATTAAAAACTTAAATTAAAAGCAGGGGAGAAAACTTCATATTTGCTGAAGCAAAAGCATGATCAAAACCTGAAACCACAACTGTGAAGAATGTCAACTTAGCTGAAATATACAAAGAAATGTACAAAAGTCAAGAAAGAACATGAAAAGTCAGTCCCATGATAAATCATGATTCAAGAATGAAGAAAAGATGGTATGCAAGAATTGATGCTGAACTTTAGCACTGTCGGAGTTCAATCATTCAGAAAGACTCACCTGGAGATATGCAATTATATAGGGGAGAAATTCTGGGAAAAACATCCATCTCAGCTAAAGGAATGCAAGACAAGTCCACAATAATCCTACATCTCTTAAATGGAATAACTAAGACTAAGCAAGTATGGAAATAGAATTTTTTAACAGACTGTGGTATAAAATAATTTACCAGAAAAAAAAAAAAAAAGAATTGAGGTGGGAGCCAACAACATGGTTCAGTGAGTAAGGACACGGGCTGCCAAGCCTAATGACCTCAATTTGAAAGATTTCTAGGTCCTACGTGGTAGGAGAGTGAGAACCAACATCTACAAGTGGTCCTATGAGTTCTATGTTCATGCTATGTTACATGTGTATATGCACAAAATAAAGTGTAACAAAATGTTTTTTTAGGGGCTAGAGAATTGGCTCAGCAGTTAAGAGCTCTTGGTACTCTTTAAGACCTAGATTTGGTTCTCAGTACCCACATGGTGGTCCGCAGCTGTCCTTAAACTCCAGATCCAGGGGGCTCAATGTCCTCACCTCCACAGGCCATGTAGGTAAAACATTCACACACATAAAAGAAATGACTCATAAAAGTATTTAAAAAAAAAAAGATGGAGATGGGTAAAATAAAAGCAGTAAGTGTGCATACTGATTCCTTTACTTTCTTAGTGGAGTAAATAAGATACTTGAGATTAAGGCAGAAATTATGGTTTGATTATAATAGTACACAGTAAATGATCTTAAAAAGTACACTTAAACATTTGAAGTGATCATAATGAATGCGTACATGAAGCACACACAAAAGAAAAAAGACTGTATATCAAGTGCTAATGTAAGCCAACTTACAAAAGAAAACCAAAATATGTATTCTTCTTATATCATTATAAATTACCCCATGCAAAAAGGAGATGTTAAAATGTCAGGTTGAAATACAGTTCACTGATAGGGTACTTGCCTAGAATCTGTGAGACCCTGAGTGATTGCCAGCCCTACAAAAAAAGTCCTTAATTTAGATTTTTAAAATATCCCAAGTGTGTGATGTTTAGAAAAATCTATCAAAAAATTACTTAAATAGTATAAAGTAAAACTTGCAGAATAGTCTATGCAAATAATAAAATGAGAACTAGTAACTGTGATTCTTATTTTATGAAATACCAAATCAGAAAACCAAACAAAATGGGAAAAGTACAAGGAGAATAATAATGTGTTCATCTTGTAGCATTGGAGAAAAGTATTTAAAGAGTAAGACCATGAAATCTCATAATTATTTACATAAAAATAGGTAAATCATATGTTAACAGAGGAGACAATTTCTTTTTAAATGTCCATGAAATTGACAAACAAAAAATCATATATTCTCCAATCTAAAGAATAATAGTAGGAAAATTTAGAAACTTGTTTTAATTACACGTTGGATACATTTAATTAAAATCCATAATTGTTAATAATTAATCATAAATTGATTATATGATAGTTACGCTTATTTATAAATAATAATGACATTATTTTACTAGAATAGAAAGTAAAACTTTACTAAAAGTAAATTTCAATGCTATACACAGTTATTATACACTTAGAACATACTTAGAAATGGAAATAAGTCAGTCAGGCAATCAATTTAAGAAATCTGAAAGTAGCCAGGCGTGATGTCGCGTGCCTGTAATCCCAGCACTCAGGGAAGCAGAGGCAGGCAGATCTCTTAGAATCGAAGGCCAGAATGGTCTACAAAGTGAGGTCAGACCAGGTAAGGCTACACAGAAAACTCAAAAAAATAAGACATAGGAAAACAAGTATAAAATAGTTAAGAAATAATGGAGTAGGGGCTGCAGAGGTGGCTAAGAATTTAAGAGCACTTGCTGCTCTTGCCAATGACCTAGTTCAGTTCCTGGCATCCACGTGGTGATTTACAACCATCCTTAACTCCAAGTATAGAGAATCTGACAAACTCTTTTTGATTTTCAAAGACACCAGACATTTATTTAGTTCACATACATATTTACAAGGAAAATAATCGGACACATAAAATAAACATTTTTTAAAGAAATACTGGTATAATAATGATAGAATGAAACAACACAAAAAGAAATTACAGAAGAAGCAGAGTGTTAAATCTAAGTTTTTTGGAAAAACAAAATAAAACATTAAGCAACAAGAATTAACAACTATAGACAGGATTTGTATTTAGATTAGTGAATAATATCTGATACACAGGAAATCACACCTATTAAATTTGTATTCAGATTGGTGAATGATATCTCATACACAGAAAATTATATCAGTTTTTAGTGTTTTTTGTTGTTTATCTTTGAAAAAATAACTGAACAAATAGAAGATTGTGAAAATAGCTGAAATTAACTAAACAGGCTAATAATTGCAAAGAGGAGAATTACAGAAAATGATAAAGAATTCTTCTAAAAGTTTTATAGGTAGAATAATTTAAAGTCCTGAATAATTTTTTTCTTAAAAAAGACTATAAAGTGCGATGATGCATATCATAGTAGTCAAAAAAATATTCCAGTCATATAAAGCACATTTTAAACATTAATTATTGAATGTCATTGTATGGTCCTTTTCCTTTGATATTATGTATATTGTAGTTATAATACATAATAAGCATTTATATAGTAAATATTAGTTCGCTGGTAATGTTTATATTGAGGCAAATATTTAGATACACACAACAGGATATATTTTATAAAGCTAACTTTCAAAGTAGTATCATCATAGTTCAAAAGCTTAAGTGCATGAATAATACTCAGCAAATATTCTCAATTGTTTCTCCACAATTTTCATTCCATGTACATATGCATTTTGTTTGTTGTTGATGGATTTTTGTGGAGGGTTTGGGATTTTTGTTTTGTTTTGTTTTGTGAGACATGGTCTCACTATGTACTCCAAGCTAGTCTTGAACACCAATCCTTCGTAACTTCCACCTTCAAAGTTAAAAGAGTAGGCATATGCCATCCAATAATATCTAGCAGAGGGGCTAGAGCTTAAGAGATGGCTCAGAGCTTAAGAGCACTGGCTGCTCTTCCAGAAGTCATGAGTTCAATTCCCAGCAACCACATGGTGGCTCACAACCATCTATAATGAAATCTGGTGCACTCTTCTGGGGTACAGGTGTACATGAAAAAAACATTGTAAACATAATAAATAAATTTTTTAAAAAATACCTAGCAGAAATTGAGTTTTGTTAGGAAAAGACAGCACTTACACATATAACACTGATAAATATATTATGTATATATTATATGCAATTATTTATTCATTATATTATACTATATAATAATTTATTATATATTATTGTATATTATATGATATATTATTATATATGGTTATATATTATATATCATATATATCATTATGATATATAATGTGTATATTTGTGTATGTGTGTGGTAAAGCACAAAATGTGTTATATCTCAAGAATGCAAGGATGGTTTAACATTAGAAAAAAAATTTTTTTTTACCTGAGACAGGGTTTTTCTGTATAGTCTTGGCTAGCCTAGACTCTCTTTGTAGACCAGGCTGGCCTTGAACTCACAGAGATATGCCTGCTTCTGCCTCCCTGAGAGCTGGGATTAGAGGCATGCACCACTGTGTCTGGCCTTTTTGTTGTTGTTGTTTCTTTTGTGTTGTGTTGTGGTGTTGTTGGGGTTTTTTGTTGTTGTTGTTGTTCTTTGAAACGAGATTTTTCCATGTAGCCCTGGATGTCCTGGAAGTCTCTCTGTAGACCACACTAGCCTTGAATTCACAAGGATCTGCCTGCCTCTGCCTCCCAAGTGCTGGGGTTACAGGTGTGCCTCACCACCTCCCGGCAAACATTAGAAATTTTTGAAAAATAAAGTTTACTATCAGGGAAAAGATTTTCTATCCAACATGGTAAGCCTAAAAATTAACATTGGTATTTTTAAAACCATACTTTATAAAAGGAGTAGTTAGATGTTTCATGTATCTATTTTTGTAATAAATATGTTAAAGGACAAGGACAATCAACTATTATTGATATTAACTGTTGGAGTGTCTATTAAGTAAGTCTTGTGGTTAAATAAGGGGAAATAGAGAATTTTAACAGGACTGAGGATAGATAGTTCCGTGGTAGGATACTTGTATAATATGCACATACAAAATACAAATTAAAAAGGAATAGACTTTCTTTTTTCCTAGATCTGATAAAAGCCTAGCTGAGGAAAGTTCAGAAAATCAGCTGAAATAAAATATAGGAAGCTTCAATAAAGAAACCACATGGGAAATTTATATTCAGGCAGTAAATGGACGGGACAGTCCACAGGAAAAGCCAATGGCAAGCTCCGCAAAATGCCACAAGTTTCACAATCATTTAGGCATGCGCAAAGGATCCTTTCTAGATTGTCGCAGTTCAGTGACGTAGTAGTGACGTTTTAGTGACGTCCAACACATGCGTCTAGTCCTTGGAAATAACGCCTAGCGTCTCAGACGACGGCCAGCTATTCACGGAAGAGCGCGCTTTTCGTCAGCTCTGGGGTTTGTTTGCTTTTTTTCATTGTAACTTTATAGTTTTGGCGTTTTCTTGTTTTGTTTTATTTAGCACGCAAGTGCGTGCTTTTCTTCCCTGATTCTTTTTCTTTTCCACAGCTATCGCCTACCTGTTTGCTACCCAGCACTGCTACGTGGATCTCCGCCATGGCCTCAGAGGAAGTTACGTGTGTCACCACAGAAGATGCAGAGATTCCCGCCGCTTTTTTGGAGCTGCAGCCACGCACTTTAGAGAGAGCTTCTGTGGAGGAAAGCCAAACCGTTGAAATGTTTGCAGATGTAGGTGTCGATTGGGCATGTGGTGACCACTGCCACTCTCCTCTTAGCACTCTGAAGCCAGTTTCGGGCAGCGACCTGAGTAATGGGGACCATGATCAGGAAGCTATCATCCTGGAGAAAAGAAAGGAGGTGGTGGGCTACCAGGACTCAGACATGCTACTAATCCATTCTAATTTTGAAAACCAGATGGTTGTTCCAGTTATTCAAGATGACTATCTCCAGCTGACCGCTGCTTCTTTACCTAGCTTCATGGAGTCAGAGAATGATCAAGGTGAGCTCAGCCCATTTGAAGGGAATCTCTGTGATTTAGCGACCATTATCGACGGCAGTGCAGAAGGCACGAACCCTGACCTGGGTGAGCAACAGTGGGTGCAGAGTCAGATTCAAATCGAAGCTCTTGAGGGAGAATTCCCCTTCCCAGTGTGGGAGGCTCAAGAGGAAATAGAAGATGCCGTGGCTGAAGTGCAGACCGTTGACTCGCCTCCCGATTATTCCGAGTATATGATGGGAAAGAAATTTCCTCCTGAAGGAATACCTGGCGTCGACCTGTCTGATCCCAAACAATTGGCAGAATTTACTAGCATGAGAAATAAGCCCAAAGGAGACTTTCCAAGACCCATCGCTTGCTCTCATAAAGGTTGTGGGAAGATGTTCAGGGATATGGCTGCTATGAAAAAGCACTTGCACATCCATGGGCCTAGAGTGCACGTTTGTGCAGAATGTGGTAAAGCTTTTATTGAGAGTTCAAAGCTGAAACGTCATCAGCTGGTCCACACTGGAGAGAAGCCCTACCAATGTGCCTTTGAAGGCTGTGGGAAACGCTTTTCCCTGGATTTCAATTTGCGCACACACCTGCGAATCCATAATGGAGACAAGCCCTTCGTGTGCCCATTTGATGGTTGCAGCAAGAAGTTTGCTCAGTTGACAAACCTGAAATCGCATATCGTAACACATGTTAAGAATAAGAATGACCAGTAATAAGAAGTGAGAAGATCCTTCTGAAGCCTTGGAAGTATTTTACAGTAATGTGCCTGGAAATCAATATACCTCACATTTGAAGAGTTTCTAGGAAAGTTATTGCAACTGTACATATTTGAGGTTTATGTTTTGATAGCGTATTATATTGCTAAGATGCCCTGTTTTGTGCTGCAGTGATGTTTTTGTGAAGTTTGATTTCAGCCAGAGAGACTAATTCATTAACCTCACATTGTTGCTAAGATGTCTTATGTTTTGTACTGATATTTTTCAAGCTTGGTTTCAACTGGAGAGTAATTCACAAACCTCATATTGTTGCTAAAGATGGCCTGTGTTCTTTTAAGATGGAGGTTTTGAGAAGTTTGGTTTCAACGGGAGACTTAAGATTATGAACCTCATATTGCTAAGATATCCTATCTTCTGCAGTGGTGTTATAAAACTTGGTTTCAGCAAGAGACTATTTCGTGAACTAGATACACCAAAATGACTTGTTTTATTCTACAGTGGTGTTTTTGTGAAACTTTTGTTCAACAGACTAATTCAACGAACTAACCTAAAGATAGCCTGTGTTATTTTGCTCTGAAGTTTTTTGAGAAGCTTAATTTCAACAGGAGTTTAAAATCACAAACCTCATTGTTGCTAAGTTGCACTGTGTTATTCTGTGGGGTAGTTTTTTGTGAAGTTTGGTTTCAACAGGAGACTAAATCACAAACTTCATATTTCTTAATATCCTGTCTCCTGCAGTGGAGTTTTTCTTAAGTTTGGTTTCAACAAGTGACAATTTCACGAACTTCGTATACTAAAATGACCTGTTTTATTCTATAGTGATATTTTTATAAGACTTACTTGCAACAAACTTCATATTGCTAAAGAGCCCTGTGTCACTCTGCAGTACTGTTATTGTAAAGTCAGTTTTGACAGGAGAATAATTCATGAAGCTCACAATGGTATGTTGCTAATAATGCCCTGTTTTTTTTTCTGCAGTGGTATTTTTGTGAAGTTTGGTTTCAATACAAGACTAATTCGTGAGCTTCGTACTCTTGATAAGATGCCCTGTCTTAATTTGCAGTGGTGTTTTTGTGAAATTTGGTTTTTACAAGAGAATAATTCATAAAATTTATGTCAAATTACATTTCTTTATACAACTAATAAAATAGGACTTCCTTATTCTCATAAATACACAGTTTACTTATTAGATATTTAAGTTGTGTGTTCCAAATGCTCATGTTTATACTTTTAGGAATATGTTTAGTAATTGTATATATGATTTCTGTGGAGTTGACTAAAAGTAGTCTTTAAAAACAAATGGGAAGTTTTGTACATCTATATTATCCTGATAAAGAAACTTTATAGGTTTGTTTGCTGTCCTAATTTTGACAGCATTCCTTGATGCCAACACATTTTGCATAAGTTTCTCTTAGCTGTATTAGACAGTATAGAAAGTTAAGTAACGTAATATTAGCCAATTTAAACATCTTTTAGTCATTTTATCCCCTCCCTGGATACTACTTAAAGTGCTGTTGTTGAGTGTAGTTTCTTTGTGTGATCAATTAAGAGTAGTGCTTGATTGCATAATATTTTTGTCTTTAAATTAATTACATTTTTGGTGTGTACTTTTGTGTTATAGAAAAAAGCAAAAATAAAATAACTCTTTGAAGAATGAACAATAGCTTGCTTGTGTGAATATGGTAGCTAAAAAGTAAGGAAAGGGGAAACTGCTGCTGGCATCCATTCAGAGCATTTGGTAGTGCACACGACAGTCACCTGTGACAACAAATTATCTAGCCAAACTGTTGTGCCACTACTAAACATACGCTCTGGAGAAAGCAAAAGTGGTAAGAAGTATTTCAGAAACGTACTTGTAAACAAATCATTAATAGACAAGAGGTTATTTCGATGAATGAAATGTGTCTGTTTTACACATGTCCACTCTCACCTGGCCATTAGAATTTAGAGGGTAAAGTACCAGCATCAAGTCTGGGAGACAATTGGAAAGGTCATTATAAGGTCAAGAAACCAAACCACTACTCATTTTTAGATTCTCAGATAAAATGTGACGGCTGAAACACGAATGTTTTAATTAACTGACACAAAACAGAGCCCAGCACACATTTATTCCTGGCACTCGGGAGGCAGAGGCAGGTGGATCTCTGCAAGTTTGAGGCCAGTCTGGTGTACAAAGTGAGTCCAGGACAGCAAAGGCTACACAGAGAAACCCTGTCTCAAAAAATATAAAATAAATAAAAAATAAAAACCACAACAAAAAAAGAACCATGAATATGTTGATGTAAACTGGGAAAGATTTACTACAACAGAGCTAGTTAACAATATCAGGGTTTCTGTTTGGAGTTTTGGTTTTTGGTGCTATTTATTGAACTAGGGTTTGTTTCCTTATGTAGCTCAGATTGCCCTCACTCCTGTCTCAGCTTCCTGAATGCTGGAATTATAGGTGTATACCACCATTTCTGACATGAGCATACCAAAAATTAAAGTGCACAGAATAGGGAACTAAAGAGAAACAAATCTTAGAGGAGAAAAAAAAATTATGTGTTACAAAAGACAAATTCCTCTGTGTGTGTACAAATTAGTTTTTAAAGTACAGCCTAATTTTTAAAAATTCCAAAGATATTAATAGGCAACAAGCAAAATAGCTCTCAGAGAGTAGAAATAAAAAGAGCCATATAAAATGTCAGGGCTTACTCATAATAAATAATTAGAATTAGAATTCAGCTGTGCTTGGTAGTGCATGCCAGTAATACCAGCACTCTGGGAGGCAGAGACAGGCAGATCTCTGAGTTCGAGGCCAGCCTGGTATACAAAGTCAGGTGTGGTGGATTAAACCTGTAGTACCTGCAACTTGAAAAGCAAAATGGTTCTCAGTTTGAGGACAGCTTGGGTTACATGGGAAAATCCTGGGTTTTGTTTGTTTGTTTGTTTGTTTTTGTTTTTTTGTCAAAAACTAAACATGATAGCATGGAATATAATTTGGGGGAGGAAAGCATGTAAATTATTTCTCATTCCCTTACACATACATTCTTTATGTTCCCCATTTGATGACATGTTATTGGTTGAGGGTCACTAGACATTTCAGCTTGTACACAATTCTTGACACATGTACCAAAAATCTAGAGCCATGTATTGTGTTTTGTTTTAACCAATTACTCCAGTTACATGTCAGCTTCAAATTTGTTGGCAAATTTTTCTTAAGATGATCTCCTGGAACAGTCTCATAATATTCACTTCCACTGCTTCACAGTTTTACAGAACATGTACCACATTCTCAGATTTTCCACTTTCCACAGCACATTATCAAAATTGTTAGGGAAACTGGACAGCCAGAGAACCATGAAGAGAGATGTTTCAGAGGGCACATGGTTCCGGCAGGCCAGGACCAAAGAATTGTTTTTTAAGAAACAGGTTCTACTACAAACATGAGACCAAACATCATTAAAAATATTCCAGACAAAAATGCACTAAAACTAGCCCCTCCTCTGTGGACTGTTATGTTGAACCCCAAGATAGTGATAACCTTCCCTGGTTCAGTTATCCATCCCACTATTATTCTGTTTGTACCAGAAAAAAAATGATTTCATCCCTTTAAAAAATACCTTGCACTTAAAAATATGATGAGGTGGAATTTCCCTGTTGTAATAGATGCTCCTAGAGCTACTAAAAACTGCATTTACAAAGTAGTTGAATAAAAATAACCCCCTGGAAAACCGGACTGTGGTGATACACATCTTTAATCCTAGCACTCATAGAGGCAGAGGCAGGCATTTCTCTTCGAGTTCGAAGCTACCTTAGTCTACAAATCAAGTCCAGGACAGCAAAGGCTACACAGAGAAACCCTGCCTCGGAAAACAACAAAAAATTCCTCTGGGTTGTACAAGGAGGGAGACAGAAAAAAATTGCACATTTTGTCTGACTTGGCTGCTTTGTCATATTTCAGAGGCTGGAGTCTTGTTTTTGTTCTCTTCTGCAGGAAGATTTTTTAGTTTCATGGTCAACTACTCCAGCCTGTTTGTCTTTTGCTCCCCTTTGTTAGCACATTTTTTGTTGTTTGCACTTTTTTTTTTTTTGTCTGATGAAACATCACCCTCCTCCTCCCCCACACTCATCCTTGAGGCCTATTTAGGCTTCAAGGTAGACCTTGGCAGGAGTGGTGCTGTCCCAGTGGTGGAGCAATGCTTGAGCTCTTCCGCAGCTGCAGCCGCCTTCCCAGCACCTGCTCAGCACTGCTCTTGCACATGCATCCTTACTTAGGTACACAAACAATAAAAGCAAAGCTATTTATCATATGCTGTTAAAAGCAGGTTAAGCGATAGTTAATAGGGAACTTTATAAATAAATAGCTTTATGGGGTGGAGAAAAGGCTGAGTGCTTAAGAACATATGTTCTTCTAGATGACCCACGTTCAGTTCCCAGCACCCACACATTGCATCTTGCAACCACCTGTGCCTCCAGCTTCAGTGGCTCTTATAATTCATATATCTGGTTTCCACAAGTTCGCTCACACACATAAAGATTTTTTTTTATTTGTTTGTTTTTCAAGATAGAGTTCTATGTATCCCTGGCTGTGCTGGAACTCACTCTATAGACCAGGTTGACCTCGAAGTCGGATCTACCTGCCTCTGCCTCCTGTGGCATGGGATTAAAGGTATACTCCACCACTGTCCAGCTAATCAATTCTTAATGGTAGGTTTATAATTCATGTGTACCAGATCTAAGACATGGGATCGATGAGACAGCAAATATAGGTAAAAAAGTATCAAAAATAAGCAAACTATATTTGATAAATAATTTGATACTGAGATATTGATTCACCTTGGTGGATAAAGGTATTTGCTAGCAAGCCTAAGGTCCTGAGTTCAGTAACCAGGCCCCACATGGGAGAAAGCAAAAACCTTCTCTAACAAGTTGTCCTTTGGCTTCCGTTTGTACACTACCACACATGAGCATACACACACACTAACATAATTTAACATTTTGAATTGATAACAGTTTTCAAAATTGTTAAAGAATGTTTTTGTGTGTATGCAGGCACCTGTCCATGGGACCTGGTGAGGCAGAAGTCAGTTTTTAGGATCTCACCATGGGATCCAGGTATTGACCTCGGGTCCTTGGGTTAATGCAGAAAGTACTTTTAACTACTGAATCATCGTTTTCTAGTTTGTTCCAAAAACCTTATGTACACGACACTCATTATTATATATAATTAGTATAAACTAGATTTTAAAAGGTTGCTGGATCTGACTTTTAAACCTACAGTTGGTAAGTTGGTAAAATATTAGTCTCACAAGCAGGAGAATGTGCATTTAGATCTTCAGCACACATAGAAAAAGCCATGAAAACAGTTGATTTCATGAGCTTCAGGTTCAGAAGAGGCCCTATCTCAAAAACTAAAAGGAAGGGGGAAGAAGTACAGAATGAATGAAGAAAATAACTGATGTCAACCGCTGACCTCAACACTCATGCCCACTCGTGCACGTGCATGCACAAATACACATGCACAAAAAAAAAAAAAAAAAAAAAAAACCACTTTCTTCATGGGTTGTTCTTTTGTGTTCTATCATATGAGGTACCAAATCAGTATCTTTTTAAGAGTTCCTTTTTTGGGGGGATACTGTCCGGAAATTCAAAAATTTTTAATTAATTAAATTTTTTTTATAAATTACAGTTTATTCACTTTGTATCCCAGCTGTAGCCTCATCCCTCATCCCTCCCAACCCCTCCCTCCCTCATCTCCTGCCATACCCCTCCCCTAGTCCACTAATAGGGGAGGTCCTCCTCCCCTTCAATCTGACCCTAGCCTATTAGGTTTCATCAGGACTGGCTGCATTGTCTTCCTCTATGGCCTGGTAATGCTGCTCCTCCCTCAGGGGGAGGTGATCAAAGAGCCAGCCACTGAGTTCATGTCAGAGACAGTCCCTGTTCCCATTACTAGGGAACCCAATTGGACACTGAGCTTCCAT